CTGTACTAAACTGCTTTGAAAATCTTAGTGAGCTTTTCCTTTGGTCTTCAAATAACGGGTTCTCTTATATTGAACACATTTGTTTATCTCAAGGGCTGAACTGTTTGGGTGCTTTTGATTTGTTTTGCTTTTTTTTTTAATCTGCATTTGAACACAAACTTCTTTCTCACCCTTTTTATATACCTTTTCATAATGCTTTAGGAACATTCATGTGATTATACAAATAAAATTTAAAAAGTGAAGCAAATCTGTTTGCAAATGATGCAAGATTTCAACACATGGCTCTTAATTTATATGATGAGATATAATCAATTCCCTTGTACCATTATTAGAAAACAAAACGTGAGTGAATTTCTTAGTGAAGTTTGTAGCAAGTTTTATAATGGTATCCAAGTTTTTCATGTCTACCTACATTGTTTGCAAGCAATAAATTCTGTCTCTTTAAAGTTGCACTCAACACTGGTCACTTTCTTTCCATGTCTAAAGGCCTTATTCCCCAAAAGAAGAGGAAAACATATCTCTATTTAGTGGATTGCTAAAACGGGCCTTGCACTATTTTCATGGACAAGATGAGATAGAAGTTGTTTTACAGACAGCATTCTGAGGACAAAAATTGGGTGCTTGAAATAAATGCAAAGAAATGCCAAAGATATTGGTCATAGCTGGTCTCGAACTCCTATTGCTCAGGACAGAATGCTCTGAAGTATTTAACATCATTTTGTTGGTAGGTGGGTGGACTTGAGTGATCTAGCCCCAACTCCTTACTTTATTGGTCATAGCTGGTCTCAGTTACGAACTCCTATTGCTCAGGACAGAATGCTCTGAAGTATTTAACATCATTTTGTTGGTAGGTGGGTGGACTTGAGTGATCTAGCCCCAACTCCTTACTTGAAATTTCTATTGCTGTAAAGCTAAAGAAAATATGTGAAAGTTTAGAACTGTGCTATAACTTGTGGGGATCCCTTACATAGGGAAACTAGATACGCATAAGAGAAACAAATCTAATACTGAGGGCCAGTTGCATCCTTTTCAGTGGTTCCAGGTTTGTATTTTAAAGGCCAGACAAAACAAAGATGAATTTTAGTTATGTACTTCAGTCTCCTGGAAAAAAAACCCCTACATTTGGAGTATTTTAAACCACGGACGAATGTCTCTGTCAGTCGGGGTCAGAGTGAAATGGAATGAAATACCGTACTGATGTTCATGGTCTGCTCAGAAAACAGGAAGTTAGTGATTTAAAGCTACGCTGGCTCTTGTTACTTGATCCAGTGGGTGCAGATCAACTCACTGATTCACTTCTCTGCTGGTTCCACGTCTGACCTTTTGAAGGAGATGCAATTCCAACTCCATTCTCGTGTGATCTAATCCACCTCCCCCAGTCACCTAAGCGCACTCTAGCATTGTTCTGGTCAGATTCTAATTCCTACGTATGTTATGCTCTTGGAACAGAGTTTATGGTCAGTTAAGATACTGTGCTGCAGTATCTCTTTTTACAGTTGATTCCGGTACTGAGAACACGTAGGTAAAAAGGAATGGGCTGGAATGTGTTCTTCCCATTTGCTTTTCTTCTTTCCCCTCATACATGTATGGGAACTTGAGATACAAGAATAGGTACCATGCATATAAGGGGAAAAACTGTTTACATTTAAGCTGATTAAATCATCTGCAAGGTACTGGATAGGTCAGCATGAAGTGCTGATTTTCAGTAGGTTGAGTAACACAGTATTTTTTTCCATTCACATGTCTGAGGACAAGCAGATCTGTCTGAAAGCCAGACCCAGCTACCAAGAAATCAAGTGACTCTTAAAGCTCTGGGTGAGTGCAGCCAGGGTTGGGGGGCTTGCCTCCCATGAGAGAGTTGGGGGCAGCACAGATAGTCTGCTTTGGTTGCGGGGAAAAAGCTTTACTTTACATGATTCTGCAAATTTTCAGTGGTGTTTTTTTGTTTTTTTTAATTAGGGTAGTCTTTTCTGAAAGAGCGGCCTGAAAGAGAATTAGTCAGGATCCAAGACTTTTCTTGAACTTGCATTGGAGACTGTGAGGACCGTCAGTAAATGTATGAACGGGAGCCATCCTGTTAAAGCCTCATGCAGCACTGGAAAATACTCCTGTATCAATACACCACTGCAAAGTTTCTCCTACACATAGGAATTACAGCAAGCTTTTGTCATGGAAAGTGACACTTTGCAATTGTATACTCTTTTAAATGTAGTTTAACACTGAGAAATGTGGAAGAAAACAGCTAGTATTCTGATAGAAGCCAGCTCTGTATGCCATGGTTGAGAACTGTAGATCTGATTTGAAAAAGTTTAATCGTGTGAAGTGAATATTTTAAAAGTACTTGTTAATTCTTTTTCCGATAGTTAATTATGGGCTGTATGTCAGATGCATCGAGCCTAATTGTTTGAGTTAATTTAAGGGGGGAGAGAGTAGGCATGACACTTTTGAGGAATGTTTCATAGATCCCTAATTAAAAGCTAAGATGTATTTGGAGTATATGCGTACACGAATAGGTATTTTTAAACACGATTGTTATTCTTTAATGTTACCTGAGTTCTGTGAAAGATGTTTCAGATGAATATATGTAGACTGTTTTAGAGACTGGCAAATATTTTCTGTAAAAATTTCACTGTTAGGTGGGCAGTTTCTAAAAAGTAATATTACAATCTGAAAAAGGACGTTTCTTTTGGTTTTGATTAGCAGCCAGAGATCCAGGGAACCCAAACAATATTTACAGTGGTAAAGCTCATGGCCATTGTTATTTGTATAATTATGATTTCAAGAAGGAATACAGGATTTTTGTTGTTTTCCAGAAGCTGTGCAGCTGCTAGATTTTTTCCCTTTTTTTAAAATCAGCTTTCTGCATATTGCCTGTGACTGTTTTTTGCTGACTGATTTGGAGAGCTCTTTATATTCCAGTTACTGAAGGTTTTAGTTCGGCCAATAGACTTCTCATCTACTTCTCTATTTTGATCTAAGTTTCTGCAATTTGTTCCCCTTGAAGTCTTTCTTCCTTTTTTTTCCACAGTCTTCTCTTAGTATTGCTTAGTTTGGTGATGTTGGGAATAGGCATACAAAGATTTGTCTGAAGCCAAGTACAATGCCCTTTGTTTAAGGCAGCAGGTTTTGTAGAAAAGGAAAAGGTGAAAAACAGTTTTGTTTCCACTTATGCTTTGCATCCAAGATGCAGAAAAAAGCTGGTATTTTTAGTATTATCCTTTAAGTAAATAATTCGTGATTAAAATTAATAAGGTTAACTTCTCTAGACTGTTCCGAGTCGTCTAACCTAAATGATGTTCTCTACACTGTGTTGACATAGTGAGAATGAAGCCCAGATCTGCTGAGGCCAATCCTTTGGTTTGGGATTCTTTTCATCAGTGGTTGTGTATTTTGGTTTCTTACCTTCAGGAGTTAAAAGATAAATGAGGGTGGGCCAGGATTAAAAGATGGGCTACTAAGGGACATGCAGTGGTTGGAGATTGATTTGAGAACAGTTGTAGCCGAGTAAGACAGATACTAATGGCTTGAATGCTGAGAATTGCACAGTAGCATTTGACATGAGCCTTTTTGATAGCTGTAGAATTGGTACTAAGAAAAGGGAGAGAGAAGAAGAAATACTGAAAGTTGAGATCTATTCTAGTAATGTTGTTGTTCTGTATGCATTTACAGTATAATCTATTGTATATTGATACAGACATACTAAAGAAACAATCTCTGGAACGGAGCGTTCCCACGGAGAGTTCAGGTCTTGGATCTGAATTTTGAGGTTTCAGCCCTTCAAAAATATGTTGTATATAACTTTTCTGTACTAAGGACTCTTGTCCAAGTACTTAATATTTATTTAGGAGATAAATATTTTTTTATTGCCAAAAATATCTTTTCAGTATTAAAAGCTTGGTATCTAATGTAGGGACTTCAAGCAGAGTGGTTACCTATCCAAGCATCCAGCATTAGTATGAATGCAACAGGTGGCAACATAAACATATCAGAAAAAACATTTGGTTACACACAAACTGGGGGGGGGGGGGTGGGAATCTTAGTATAGTTTGCAGAACTGAAAGAAAGGCCAAAATGAAGCCCTGTTAAACTAAACTGGTTTAGTCTGATCAAGCTGAGCCTAGACTGATCTTTAGCAGCTTATTTTATTCTTCTCCTTGAGAACTCCTTGAAGTAAGTAATACAATAGCAAGCTCATTACGGTCAAACTTTTATAGCATCTGGGAAGAACTAAATTAATTTTAAGTATAAGTGGTGGCCAGTGCTGCACTTTTCCTATGATAATCCTTGCAGATGGAACCCCACGTTTTAGTGACAGTGATATGCTAGCCGTGTATTTATGAACATTCAAATCTTTGCAAGAAAACTTCGTGGACTTCTTTTTTTAAACATATAGAATGTCATAGACTAGGAGATGGTAGATTTTTGTATTACTCATTAATTTGCAGTGATAGTTTACCAGTTTTCATTGTGCTCGGTGTTGTACAAATACATTATAAGGAAAGGTTTTTTGTTCTGAACATTTTACAGTTGAATTCAACCAAGTCAAAGAAGCGTATGAAACGATTTTCATAGAAGGGGTGGGAAAACAGTGACATAGGTGCATGGATGGGTATTGTAGTGCTACACTTTTGATGGTGCAGGTACTTAGGGGGAGTACATTAAGTAAGCTGTTCCATGGTGTGGGTATGTATATCTGTTGATTTGCAGATAGTATGGAGGTATTGCAGCATAGGTAATGCAAACATCAACATAATTGTGGCCGTGATAATCTTAGTCTCATGAACAAAAGTAGAATAAGCTAAGAGGCTCAAACCTGTGGTAATTCTAAATGAATGGGGTATGATTTCAGTCTGTTCACTTCCTACTTTTTGAATTGTGGACTCTTCTAGAAGGTCAGTCATCTTACAAGAGAGCAGGGTGTGGTATGTGGGTTTGTGCTTGTGATGCAGTCGTGTGCAATTAATTGCTTCATTATTTTTTTCTTGCTCTTTCGTCAATAGGTGACAAAGAAAGTCAAGTCCATGCAGATGTTCCATACTCCTGTGACTTACGCTATGCAGGGTGACAGAGTAGGTATCTGTGTAACCCAGTTTGATCCCAAACTGCTAGAACGAGGCCTAATTTGCACCCCAGAATCACTTCACACCATCCATGCTGCAATAATTTCCCTGAGGAAAATCCAGTATTTTCGAGGAGCTCTTCAGACCAAGGCCAAGTTCCATATCACAGTTGGTCATGAAACAGTTATGGGAAGAGTAATGTTTTTCAGTCCAGCCCCTGCTGACTTCAATGAAGAAATTCAAGAAAATGTTTTTGATTTTGAAAAGGATTATCTTTATCAAGAGGAATACTTGTCCAAGGACTCAAATTCTTCAGAGGAGAACAAAGAAAATGACCAGGCAGAAGTCCAGCTCCCAAGACAACAGTGGGCTTTGCTAGAGTTTGAAAAACCAGTCACTTGTCCTAAACTGTGCCTTGTGATCGGCTCCAAGCTGGATACAGATATTCACGCAAATACCTGTAGGCTGGCATTCCATGGGGTACTGCTCCAAGGCATGGAAGACAAGAACTACACGGAGACTTTCCTTCCAAAGTTGAAAGTGTACAAACTGAAGCACAAAGAAGGACAAGTGGAAAGGGTAAGCTGTCTCTTTAATGGTATACATGGGAAGGGGAAATATTTGTTCTGTGTAAGTGCATATATTGGTGGGCTACAGAATTTTCACTGTCATGTTCCAGAGTCTTTATGCACATTTTGCTTATGTTTGTATACCTAGTGTATTACATCTTGTCTGCTTGCAAACAGTCAGAAATCACTGCTTAAAAGTGACTAGTTTATTCAGTTCAATGCAGTGTTGAGTAATTTGATGCTGGTTTTTCACTGGTCCTTTTGATGTCTATCCATTGTTCTTCCTGCATACTTTGTTTGTGTACCTTCCTAAGTGGCTCATCTGTTCTCTTCCCAGTTGACAAAACTTCCAGCTTTCCATTGACATATTTTACACACTTATTCTGCAGTATATTGAAATTGTAAAGACAGTGTAAAACAAATAGAAAGTAGCATTAGATTAATTAAGTGTCCTTTGTGTTATTTTTTTATGCATTTTTGCATTTTATTAAATAAGAATCTCAATTATTAACATTTCTTTTAGTAGGCAAAAAGAATCTCCTACAAGATGCCTTACAAAGCTATAGCATGCTGAAGTTGGGATCAAGCTCATGACATGGAGAACCTGGAGCCTTGATTAATGCATGTTGTTTCCTTATTGTACAGGTGTTAATCTGCTATAGTGTATGTACTTGACCCACCTCATTGTGACAGAAAATAGAGGTGCTTTCTGGAGGAGTTAGCCTTCACAGTAAAAATTAATTGGGATTTTTTTTTTTACTGTCCCTTCAGTATGGATAGATACACTGTCTATAGTGGTTGGTATTATTACATTGCTGTCATAAGTTTGATCTTGGTGGTTACCTTTCAGTAATCAGTGGAGAACCATTTGTTTATACTTCCCATAGTGGAGTTTTTCATGATGAATGGTTTAGGTGGAGATGTATGATATATGAATAATATAATTACCCCTAAATGAGCAGAGTTGATGTAAACTTCAGCAAATGTTTACTTGATGTATTAGTGCAGTAGGTACTTTATTAACTTTTGGGTAAAGAACTATTTTTTATTTTCTTAATCCAAAACCTGATTGTTTGAAGAAAATGTTTAGTGTTCTTTTCGGAAGTCCATAAAGTTGTGTTGAGTACTGCATAATATCTCTCCTTACTTTACTGTAGGAGACTAAACACTTAGCATACCTTACCATGTTTGCAAGTTGTAATGCAGACTTCTTGAATACTTTTTTTGATTGTTTGCTTTACTAATTTAATAGTAAAAAATAAACTAAGAACCCTGTCAGGGCATGATTTTTGAATTAGTGAGGTTCTTTTCTAAATGCCTCACTACGTTAATTAAATGGGCAATTCGTATTTCCCCCTTTTCTGTGAGGTTTCTATGTTGCTGGTTTAGCTTTTTTTTTAAAAAAAGAAGTTTCTCCTTTGGATTTCCACTACTGACTTTGGAGGCCATTCTTTTCAAAGGAACTATGGACCTGTGGTCTTGTGTTGGTTGTTTGGATGCCAATTTTGTCACTAGGAAAGGAAGGTAGTTACGAGGAGGATATCTGTAGCTTTCTGAAAATTTTGTCTCTATTAATATGGGTTATATAGGACACCCAAAATCAGCAGTTGCTTTTCAAAATTTTGGTAGCAGGGGTGTTGTTTCCTTTGTTTGGAATGGCCGGCTACCTTTCTCTTTGGCTAATGGTGATGTTGAACTAGAACAATGGGTCCAAAAGCTTCTCTAATCTGCAGAGAAGCTTAGACCAAATGTGTGTGTCTGGATACCAAATCTTGGGATGCTCTAGAGCTATCTGAACTCATAAAACATTTGCCTTTATCTTCGCTAAAAATTTACTTGCTTGTGCATGGCCCGTGCTCCTAATATCCACAGAGACCTGGCTTACTAACTCCTTTTGTTTCTCCGTAGCTATAGGAATGTGAATGAGAACAGAAGTTTGTGTGACTCATGGAGACACATGCTGCTTGTGTTTTGTTTAACTGAAATGAACTGGTCTCAGATTCTTTCTTTATTTTTGCTCCCAATGCATGGCGCTAGCCTGTGGGAGTTGAAAACTTGCAGAGGACCAACTGCGCGAGTGTGAGTTG